GGGGGCAGGGAGGGAGGGAGGGAGGGAGGGAGGGACGTGGAGAGAATGAGACCAGTGTTAAACGGCCGGCCTTGTCTGGATAGTTGCAGGTACAGGTGATCCTGCGCCCCCACACCCACCCTGACACAGTGAAATAAATCTGAGTCCTGAGGCGAGTGTAGTAACATTGCTGTGATGGGGGTGGGGTGTTTGTGTTTTCAATTAGTTCTGATTAAGTCACTGGTATTCGTTTTTATCGTACCACAAATCCGCCATGCACGGTCGGTCATGCATCCAATGGGCACATTCAGATCTATGAGGTTTATGTGCAAGTGTCCTTTTAGAGGTGGGGATGGAGTATTCTTTTTTTAATCCTTTTTTTAATTCAGTGTTTTGTGAACTTTAACATGTAACAGGTCTGTATTCATACTATAACGTGTCTAATTGACTGCAACAAGGCTTCAATCTCATTTAGATTTAATACTGATGAATACAGATGTGATAATACGGATTTATGACAGCTGTCAGAAGACTACGGATGGTTCAGACCAGCTTGCACTAATTTGAAATAAGATATTTATCTCCCCCCCCGCCCCCGGTGGTTAAATGATCCGGTGTTGTTTGTTTGTCTTTGTTTTTTAGTGGCAAAACAGCAGAACGAGTTTGAATACAACTGATTCTAATCTCAGTTGCTTTCTTTGGACACAGTTATGTCAGACATATCTCGACCGAGAAGACCTGGTCCCCAGGTGACTATGCTGTCCCCGAGGGCCAGGAAGAGCACGCTGACTAATGCCTTTGTTCTCTCTTGAGTACGTTTGTTTGATTGGAATGTGAGTTATGTTTTTGATATAATCTGTTTCAATTTGGCATTCCCTCACTTTTCAGATTAATGTTGCCGCAATTCAAGACTTTCTCCTGACTTGTTTAACATTTGACAGCGCAGGAAGAGACTATAAGACAACACAAACACATCCGGACTATCAAGAATGTTGTTTCGTGAGCCACTGTTAATGCGAATGCCAGTGAAGAGTTTGATGGGGTATTTTTAGGTTAACTTTTAAGGTAGTGTCTCAACTATACAATCTGGCTTTTCAAAACAGAAACATTTCTCGCTAATCCTTGTACGCGTTCTTCATGCATAGCTTGACCTGAGATTTGTACTGTGACAGGCCTTGGCAGCAAGCTCAGACTCTTCACATCAGTGTGAGAGATGCTGGTGGGAATTCTGGGAGACTTCTATAGTCGCACTGCTATAATGCATCTGCTGTGCACTTGTTCCTGCATTTACACAAACAAGCAACAAGTGATCCATTTGGAATTTGTACTGGAACCAAGAAAATCAATAGTTCAAGAAGAAGTTATAGATGTGTAGTCACTTAGTACTTAGTGTAATGAATTTATTCTGGTCTAAAATAGGCAGATGCATTTAGTTTGGCACTGTGCCCTGGGAACAAGGTGTTCACATGTCTAGTGTCTGGAATTGTACTGAAGCGTGCATACAGATTAGTTTTTTAAGGTTTAACTAGCTAATAAACACCGCGGCCAAAATGTTAAAACTTTGTTACTGTGGTTTGTGCCTTTATTACTACTACCACACTAAATGTCCTCCACAAAGCCACATTGATTTTTTACTAAGAAGTTCTTTTAAGCTTTTAATAAACTCCCACCTTTTTATTTCCCACTCTCAGCTTTTGTAACAGCGTATTTTGGATATACCAGTCATCATTTGGCAAATACATCCAACAGTCACCACGGGGACTGGTAAGTCCATAATTCGTCCTCTCCTTGAATGAATGAATGACTTCTGCTTTCTGTCACTATGACAAGCAGTGAACACGGTGTGTTTGGCTTTTGACATTTTTACACTTACTACTATTTTGTAGCTCTAGGAAAAGGAAAAAAGCAATATACAATATAACAATATATTTTTCATACATTTTATTAGTGTATACTTTTATTGGGTACAATTTCATTTGGTATTGGGTTTTCTTCTTTTGGCAAATAACGTATTAATACCAAATCTAGTTTTGATTGCTTATGGTTTGTTTTGGTGTGACAGATCCTCTTCTAGTCACACTGGGTTTCAGAAGTCAGCCACATTTCATGGAGTCAAATATCTTCCCTTTGTAAACAACCATAGTTGGCATTTCCGCATCCTGTCTTTGTCACTTTTGTCGCATTGTTTTTTTTTTTTTTTTGCGAGGCTGATGGGGGTGTCGGTTTCGCAGGACAAGATTACTATCATATTTGAAAATGCTCCGTCAGCGAACGATGATCTATTTTGTTGTCAGGTGTGTTTTGGCATTTGGGGGAGGGGCTAAAAAATGGAGTGCTGCCACCACTCTCTCCCCCCAACCCGCAGGGACAGAGTGACAGGTAAAACCAGCCCAGTCAATCAGATACAGTGAAACGCTGAAGAGGGCATTTTCAGTGACAAGATCGCCTGCACAATGCTTTCAGATGTCTGATTTGAAGAGCAATGTTCAATAAACTATTATTTACAAAAAAAAAGAAACATCAGACAATAGCAGTCATTATTGCTGTGTGTTTTATTTAAAAGCCTTTTAAAGCCACAGTTTGAGCATAGGCTTTGCATGGATATTTTACTTAAGGCTGTTAGTCTGCAGGAGTAGACGCTGCCCTGTAGATTGATTACAAATGTGCAATTGGATCTCAGAAATGCTGAATGTTTAAGCCATTGTGTGTACTTTTATCAGACCACATTAAAAGCACAAATTACAAATGAATGAAACTACAGGGGGGTTTCCCAATGCATTTCTCCCTGTGGCTATTTACATGCTGCCAGGGCTAAAATAATCCTTAAGCAGAAAGCGTAACGAGTATTATTATAATGTTTTGTTGCTCCGTGGTCGGACTGGGCGTGGCAGTATGATCAGAGTAAGTGACCTCCTATCAGACTGAGCGAAACCTCCTTACAAAACACACACTCAGAACAATTTGAGGCATTGCCACATGAATCATGTCTTCCCTTTTACAGCAATCATTATTGTATGCCATTAGCTGTGCTATCCAACCCTGAGTAAACATCAAGGGTTTGACTATTTCTGATGCTTCTTAGATCAAATATATTTCAGCTTTTTCTCTGGTAGGCATCATTTGTTGTCAGCAAATTGAACATATTTGCTTAGATTTGGGAGTATATGAGTATATGTCAAAGCAAAGGTCAGTCTACTGCACCAATTGAAAGAAACTATGTTTACATGACACTGATTGTCTCTCAACACTGAGAGAGCTGAACTCTAGTTTTGCTTAATGGGTGTTGGTCGGGTAGAGAGCCAATAAAGGCGTAACAATGGCCCCCTTCATAATAACAGAGTCTCCTCTGATTTCTCGCCCGCTGCCTGTGAATAATATTATCAGCCCACCACTGAGAGAAAACGTACAGGGCGACTCCAGAGTCGTGTGTGTTTCTGTGTGTGTGTGTGGTGTGGTGTGTGGTGTGTGTGTGTGTGAGTAGGTGTGACCAGGAGATTAAAAGGTGGGGGGGGAACTCAGACTTGTTAAAGTCAGGATGTAACAAGTTGTAGTTTTAGTTTTGTAGTGTGGGTTTAAATCAGGGCCATCACAGTCTCACCCCAGTTGTTCTCTCTCTCTGGCACTCACTTGCACACAGTGCTCTCTCTCTCTCTCCTCTCTCTCTCTCTCCCTCCTCCCTGCTCTCGCTCTCCTCTCGCTTCTCTCTTAGCTCAGCTCTTTCCCTCCCTCTCCTTCTGTGAGCTAGTTTTTCATCCACTGTGTGAGTCAGGGGAGGGTGGGGGATTTGGAAGACTTGCGATACCAGTCACACTTTGTCAGTTTATCCTCATTCCCTTACCCATCTTTCCTTGTCTCTCTCTCTCACTCTCTCTCTCTCCCTCTCTCTCTCTGTCTCTCTGTGTCTGTGCTGTTTTCCTTTTCTGCTGCCCCAGCCTGCCTGCCTGCCGGCTCGCCCGCCCCTTGCCCTTGTCGATTACAAGCTTTGCTTGTGCTGTGAAAAGAGGAGATTCACGTTTTGATGCTTTAATTGCGAAAACTATTGTCCCAACAAGGTAAGTTGGCTCCATGTTATGTAGGTGAAGTAACTGGGGTGTGGCGAATCTGCCCACATGTTGAGGCAGTCTGGGGTTTGGTTCGTTTATTTTCACAGTAGAAGGTTTGCGATCTTTTGGTGTTGAAGGATCTTGACACGTGTCTAGTTTGGAAATGTCCTTTTATAACTGATACTGTATTTGACTAATGGCTTCCTGGCTGCTCCTCTGCGATTTATTTTTTTTCCCCCCTCTCTGCCCAGTTTGTTCATCATTAACTCCTACGCTCCATGAGCTCCCCTTTTCCATCCCTATGTCATTGACAGGGCCCTCAATAGGAAATGCCCCCCCCCCCCCGTTCCTTTCCACTGTACTGTGTCTCAGTGGTAGATGTAAACCAGCCACCTCCTTGTCAAGGTTGAGTGGTGGTTGTGATGGGACATTTATAAGCGACAACTGTGTGTTTTTAAAACAACTTTATCTCACTTTGTACAGATGTAGCTAATACAGCAGACATTTTTTGGACCCCTTACACAGTTACGAGGAAGTTCCTTGTCCCTTTGTGGAATTACAACTAGCACTGTGTAAAATTGACTTTACTTTTAATGACAAGTCAATGTACAAATTTTACCAGGCACTCAATTACCTTGTTTTGTTTGTTGTTGTTGTTGTTGTTTTTGTTGTTATATTTTGGCCTGGTAAGTGAAGCAAATCCACCAGCTACTTGCATATTTGACCAGCAATTGTCTGGTGCTACTTATGTGCCCTGTCTACTAGTATTGCTCATACAGCTGAACAACTATGACCACTGAACAATTTGAACTGGTGGTCCAAATTTTGAGGTAATACACACAAGCCTTTAATTGGTGGAGATTAGAAGCAGCCAGGCGGTGTCATTATTTTGGAGCTCATTGATAAATAGATGCAAAAAAACGGTACACTCGGGCAGTGAGGTGGAGTAACTGCTGTCCTTTGTGGTTGTTAGAGGGTCTTTTGCCATTCGATGGCAAGTACTGTGGTTTCACTGAGCTGGGATGGAAGGGCTCTCATTTTCATTTTCTTTGAACTTCTATCTTCATCTGGGACTTAAGATACAGGAACATGGTTTCCTTTTTCTTCTTAGTGCTGTCATGGTCACAAGACTATCCCCCTGACCAGCACAATCACTTTTATTATTGGTTAGTATTCCTTGAAAAAAAAAAAAGAAATCGCTCTCAAGAGAGTCACATGTTGCATGTTCATACAGTTGTTTGAACATGAAAACAAAAAAATCCTGCCTGTTTTGTTGCAGGTTTTGTTGAATCATTACCTTGTGCACTGTTAGTGTCTACTGATTCGATTAAACAGAACTTTGGCTTGTAAATTAACTTTACATTAATTAAACAAATTATGAACTCAAATTTAAGCCATGTGATGTGGTCAACTGCCACTACACAATTCAACGTCACTGTGTCGCAATAACTTTAACATTACCACTAACCTGGTAGACAGCAGATACAGATTATCATCTGATACATTTAACTGTTCAGAATTTTTCCTCAGAACAAGACTCTACACCACAGACATGATGGTAAATGTGAGGCGCCTGACCAAATGCCTCACCAGCGGTTCAAAAACAACCACAGCTTTATGTGTAAGAGTCTTGTAAAATGTCCTGTATCTGATCTGTTACACCGCACCACCATTTGCACTGTTGGTGATGAAACTGAGGCCTGCAAGGAGACAAAAACCGTTCACCGTGTCGATTGGAGAGAAGTTAGTGGCTACAAGCTGGTATGGAATGCTGGACTCGAGGCTTAACAAGAAGATCGACCAGAAAGATACTGTGGTGTTGACATTACATTGTGGGTAACAATTGAAAAACCCTGAGGTGAACACACTGCGGGGTTTCTACGAAAGGAGGAGGAATGTCCAGTTTGTGAGATAAAATCTCTCTTTACTGTAGACTAGGCTCGGTTTTAACTTTGATCCAATAAATGCACTAACATAAGAAGGTCAAAAGCTACAACTCGGTATCAGTGTGTCATTTCATGTTTTTTTTTTTTTTTTTGTTGAGTTAGTTTCTAATGACGTTAGATGACGTCTTTTACATTCTGAAATACCTTTGTGTCCCGTATCTGATTTCCTACATTTCCACATACAAGTTTCATTTTCTCTCTGACATCCTGTGATAAGGGACAGTGTTTTAAAAACCGATACCGAAAGCAAGTTCACATCCTTAAACTCAGATTCAGATCCTTGTTAGCAAAATGCACAGCTGTAGTTTACACTTGAAAAGTCTTTTTACACTGTGTCCCTTCTTGCAGTTTTCCTAAGGAGCACCTGCATGATGTCCGCTCCCTGCCCTTCATTCCCCAGCATGAAATGATTTGCTTTTAATTATATTGGCTTAAGGAGGGCTGTTCTTTAGTCCTGAGGCAGTGAAAACTCAGAGCATTGTAGATTGTACATCAAACAATAGCTCCCTCTGGGTCCACTGTGGTGAGAGGGGACCACACCCTGCATGTCCTCTACTTTGTGAACAGACTTCACAGTTTACACTTGATATGGTGAACCTTTGTCAACAGAAAAATACTTAGGCCTGAAAGCCATAGCAACATTCCTGTGTGCACGCTGTATGGTACTTTCCACTGATTTTTTTTAAAATTATGTTTGTAGTTGAGCTGTTAGTTTGCTGTGGCAACACTCAGTACATGTTGTTGTCACATAAAGGAACAGTCGCTGTTGGTTTAAGGAACTTCTTTAAACTACTTCTCTTCTGTTCTGCAATTTTCTGTTTTTAGTTAGTTAGTAGTAGTAGTAGTAGTTTAATAGTCATTTAAGGAGAGTTTGTGTGCAGGAGTCATGCCAGAAATTAAGACACAATACCCATAGCCAGTAGAGTGCCGCCTTACGAGGGATTCCCTCCCAGTTCCTTGTAGCACCTCCTCTCTAATATCAGGCCATGTCTGATGAGCGGTTGGAGCCGGGGCAAAGCATCCTGGGAGCTTAGCTGGGAGTGTTTGTTTGGTGAGGGTTGAGCTGCTCTGTCCCTGTAATTGCATTTCAGTCCTGCTGAATAAGTAGTAAATGCCACAATATGCTTCCCCTTGAAGGAATTTGTTGGTCACGGGTGATCACCAGGAAGACCCGAGCAATGAATAAGACATGTGATTTTTATTTTGTAAAGTATTTATGTAATCCATTCTTGAAGGATAATGCGGTTTCGGTTTATTTTTTGATGTCTCTGAAAATTTCACTGCCTAGGAAAAGTTTGTTTAAAAACTACTTTTTAAAAGGTTCTATTAAAAAATAATGAAGACAGATGAGGAGGGAGAGTGGTCCATTTGATCTTTTACACATCTAAAAGGACTACATCTGGATTGAAGATTGAGAAGACCTGTCCGAGATGTGCATTGTTTTTTTTTAAACATTAAGCTGGGCAAAATATTGTTTTCTGAAATTGAGTGATATCTTTTTGAATAGCTGACATGGGAGTGGTGGAAGGATTGCTGCTGTGTTTGTCTCTGAAGAGTTAAAACTAACAGTGAGCTTGTTGGGTTTTTGGCAGATAATCGGGTAACAACAACACAAGATGGCAAACATGCTTCGAGGGATTCAGGAGATGGGCTCGCATGCCATGGATATCTATGACTTCCTCCTGGCGGGAATTGGTAGGTGATTTACCTGACTAAATAAACGAGTTCACGCCATATGTTTTGTTGTTTGTTTAATGTTGTTTTCCCCTCTCTAGATCAACGGCTGATTGAGTATCCACTGATGCAGAGTCCTATTTCCATGTCTGTAATTTTGCTGTGCTACCTGTTATTTGTACTGTACCTGGGACCTCGAATAATGGCCAATCGCAAACCCTTCCAGCTGAAAGAAGCCATGATAGTCTACAACTTCACGCTAGTCGCACTGTCGATATTCATCGTCTATGAAGTAAGACACAATTATTTAAAGTCTCCAAAATGTAAAAGCTTATAATGAATGTAGACATTCTGAACATTTCCTGTTCATACAGTGCGGCTCTCAGTGTGTAGTTTTGGTTTAACTTTTATCTTTAAGGATCACTTTTTTTTTTTTTTTAAATTAGCTATGACTACAAACTTAAATAATGAGCCCCCCAAGTAAATAACATGTCCCTGTTATTTAGTTCTTGATGTCTGGTTGGGCCACAACGTATACCTGGCGATGTGACGCAGTTGATACGTCTGACAGTCCTCAAGCCCTACGAGTAAGTCTCCTCTAGTTACAGTTATTTCAGATTTAAACATGAAGTGAAATTAGTTTTTGATGATGAACTTAAGTTTCCTATCAGCTCAAGTCTTAATTTTCCTCACCAGATGGTACGAGTGGCCTGGTTGTTCTGGTTCTCCAAGATTGTTGAGCTCATGGACACAGTAAGTTCAGTCCATTTTACCTGACGACCCTGATGTTCAATTTTGGTCACTATCGATTGGCGTTAACTAATCAGTACCCTCTTTCGGTCAGGTCTTCTTTGTTTTGAGAAAAAAGCACGGCCAGATCACCTTCCTACACATCTTCCACCACTCCTTCATGCCCTGGACCTGGTGGTGGGGAGTTTCTTATGCTCCTGGTGAGTACACATTAACTAAATCAATCAAAGAGATTGGAAATGATTAATGGAGCAGGAACAATAGCAGGTGGTGGCTATAGCTGCGTTTCTTCATTCTACAAACCAATCTTGTACCTGTTGACCTGTACAATCAATGTACAATGTCTTCCATTTGGTTTCTGAGTTGTTAAAGCGTCCTTCAAGAAACCTTAGTAGTGCTGAATTCTGTTTAGTCATTAGAAAATGATTAACCAAGAGACTGCGTAAAACCTTTACGGCTCTTTACCTCCTTGATTTTTCTTGCAAGGTGAGAGGTTCTTTGGTTACTCTGGTCTGAGTCAGCCTAATGTTTGCGATTATTACCACAGGTGGAATGGGATCTTTCCATGCCATGGTGAACTCTTCCGTCCATGTCATCATGTATTTCTACTACGGCCTTGCTGCTGCTGGACCACGCTTCCAGAAGTTTTTGTGGTGGAAGAAATACATGACTGCCATCCAGCTGGTGCGTACACGTCATACTCTGCAGTTTACTCTGTTCTTTGTTTTATCATTGAGGATTTTGCTACTTGTAGACTTGAGGCAACAGCACCAGGACAGTATGATGTAGCTTTGATGATTCTTTTTCAGCCTTGCTCAGTGTCTTAAGCTACTCTGGTCCTGTCAGCATGTTTTTTTGTCCCTCTATATACCTACATACGTAACTCTGCCGAGGAGGTTATGTTTTCAGTGCAGTTTGTCTCTCAGCAGGATTACAGGAAAAACTACTGGCCCAATTTTCCTGAAACCCTGAAATTGTTGTGCATGTTCTAACCTGTCGTGACTGGAGTGAATTGTATGCCGTAACTAAACAGCCACCTCAAATATCACTGTAGACAAAACACCTTGACGGAGGTCTGCGATCTCAGAGTGCCCTTCTATTTTATAGTAAGTGTCTGACTGACTCCTGATTTCTTCCTAACAGACCCAGTTTGTCCTGGTATCTCTCCATGCCACCCAGTATTACTTCATGGACAGCTGTGACTACCAGTTCCCCATGATCCTACACCTCATCTGGATGTACGGAACCTTCTTCTTTGTGCTCTTCTCTAACTTCTGGATCCAAGCTTACGTGAAGGGTAAGAGGTTGCCGAAACAGGACAATAAGCAGTGTCAGAACGGCACAGCTGTCTACACCAATGGCAAACACCACGAGAACGGCAACAGCATCAACCACGGAGCCACCAACGGCACCAGCAATGGTTCTACTCGCCACGAGAACGGCAGCACTCACTTGGGCAAGATGAAGAAAGCCTAGGATCTCTGGAAGAAAACACCCAAGAAGTATGACCCAGTGAATTTGGTGAAACAACTACGGATTCCAAAGATCATTTTGGCTGTGTTTCTTTTCCTGTTTTTAGTTTTATATGCAAAACATGGGGAAATGACATGGTCAGTGATTTCCACAGTTGGGGTTCCACATTCGGTTGGTTTGTTCGTTATTTTCTTTGAGTTGGTAAAACATTTATGGAACACAATATATGAAGAGAAGATGTTTTTACCTGAATGTTATCTTCACTGATGTTGCAGCAACCTCCTAGTTCAGTTTCACACCCTTGCTTTCACCCTACTTGCCTTCGCTGCTTATCTGACACCCATGTTCTCCTGACCCCTCCTGTGGACAGACGACTGTACAGTTTCTATCAAACTTGAAAATACTTTTTGTAAATAGTTTTACAACACCAAAAAAAAAACAACTAATTGTATTGGTATGCTTTAGACTTTCTAAATTTTGTTACATTGTGTATTTAAAATTTAAATGCCAATAAATTCCATTTCAAATGATCCTATACATTTTGTGCGTCCATATATTCACTGCTCTATGTATGTGTCACTTGCTGGACAGATTATAAATCATTGGTCATTGGGGGAAGACTGGCATTGTGCTGTGTTGCAACAAAGAGGGAAAGTATTTGCATTGCTTGCTTGTGCCTTCTTGTCTTGGCCATCCCAAGTATGTGGAGCAAGTAGGAGTAAACAAGAGCCCCATTATGCTTTGTTAAGAAAGATTCAGGCAGAGAGAAAGCATCCTGCAGACCGGATCTACACCCACACACAACTCAACCATCAGCTGCTTCATCTGGGTCAGAAGCGGCCTGCTTTTCCTTCATTGCAACATATCATTCACAACTTTAAGTTAACCATCCTTTAAATGCCTTCGTGGAACTGATATTGTGTGTAGGAAAGGATTTTTGTATTTGACTGCATTATATTAAAAGGTGTTTGTATATGGAGTGGACGAAACATTACAGATGCCTCCTGACATAATACAGTCCAGTTAAACACCACCTCAATAATACTCAGAGTTAAATAAATACCTCTCTGACCCTGTCAGTCAAAACTGAATATGATCTTTGTAAAGGCAAAATTATGGCTCAGCTCTTGTATTGGATTGCATTAGATTTTACTGGTGTGCCTAATAGAGTTGCTACTGAGTGTATTTTGTGTGTAAAATTGTATTTGCAAAATAGTACCAGCTGCTTAACAAATGTAGTATTTCCTTCTGGGTTGTAAAGTATAAAGTGTTGGGTGCAGAGGATCCTGGATGAACAGGCAGTAATTCAGTCATTGTTGCAAGTTTAATTCCAAGCTGACATTACATTTCATGAGCAGTCAATTAAAATACATCCAGTATGAAAACATTCTCTAGGCATTCATTCGGTGTGCATCAAATTGCTACAGATCTACTACATACACTACTTCAAGTCATTCTCTTTTTCTCTTTGCTTTAAGGTCATGAGGCTGAATCCAGCTTCCACTTTAAAGGTATTCTCCATATGGACATTGGTAGTGAACATTGTGGCATGAATGATATCAAGCTATGAAGTTGCTACTACTGTACAGTGCAGTACCCTGATCTGATGGTCCATCCTAGGTTTCATGCGTACCCAGATTGTCTGCTGCAGGGCAAGGTGAAATCAGAAAACCACTAAGAGTCAGACCACTTCTCTCTACTCGTGAGTGGATGAGATGGATGCAGACCTTGGATGTGGTCTGGTTCGCCCTTTGAATGCTTTTATTGCCCTGAAACCGATGGCAGCACTACTGAGACGTGCCGGAGACAGAGATGTGGTCAGGGTTAAAAAGATGAAATAGTATAGAGTGTGTGCGCTCTTAAGTGATGTTCTCCAGGATGTAAAAGATTAGCTCCATCACGATAGGCTCGTCACCCCTCTTGCGCCCCCTGCTGTGTATGACGGGGATCAGCACACTATCCAGGGCATTGAGGTACTGAGCTGGGAGGGGCTGCCCATTGCTCCCAGCCACAAATCCCACCTGAAATTACAAAACAAACCACTAATTAGTGTTTCAGGCCCTAAAGCTTGTGTTATAAACTTTACAACTATGCACTGTGTGAGTCATACGTTATATGTGCTCCCATTCAAACTTTGGCCAATATGTGTTTACAATGAAAAGATCCCTGACTGGAATAAATAGCCTTCACATAATGTTCTGAATAAATGCAGTTTTTTTTCCACTTTAACTAGTTATAAACTTAATTTTAATTAGTTACAGTCCACGGTTCATGCAGATTAACTGCATCTCCACTAATAATTAGTATACTAACTAAAATGTGATTTAAAGGTAGCTTAACCTCACCAATTTCTAACCACAGTGCAGTTAGATTGGTTTTAAGCTCTTGTAGTTACTGCAATTGTTTCATGGTGGTTTCACAGACATTATACATTTCTATAGCATAATATGTTTTATATGGCAGTATGTCAAAAAGTCACACATCTGTCTTAATTCATACAAACAATTATGTCGTTTTTAGGTCAGCATTCTTGATGCTGCATTCTTACAGAAAACAGAAGCATAAAATCTGATGCTCACAAGGTCTTTTGCAGCCTCATATGTTAATAACAACATGTTGTTGTGACTCAGCTCACTGATACCAAACACCCTTTCTGACCTCTTGAGATTCAAAAGCGACACGCAGCCCCAGTTTGGCCATCCCGTCCTCTTTCAACAGTTTGAGGTGTGGGCACAGTGCCAAGCAAAACGCCCGGGCGATCCGCTCAGTTAGCCTGTTGTGTTCAGTGGAGTCACTCGCTCCTGCTTTGGCATGATCCCCCCTCTGCAGGAAGAAAACCTGCACAAGACACACACATGAATGTAAAGGGAGGAGACCGTTTCAGATGGGCCTATGTTGATATTTAAAGTAGATGATCATATGTACTTCTGTCCAGCGGATGATCTTCCCATTTTCTTTGTATTCGGACTTCTGGAACATCTTCATACTGCTGATGGACTCCATGGATTTTCCATCGATAGGACTTATAACTCTGAGGGACACAAACACACAAACTGGTAATTTACAACATAGACCAGAAACTAACATGCAGCTGGTATAGTGTTTGGTAGGTGGGAGTTGTGATCCTCTTGCAGCTGTCTATCTACTGACGATAGCTTAATGAAAATGTTCAAAGACTTATTTTTGAACGTGACTGTTATATTGTTCTCTTTGAGCACAAAAGCTTCATTCTGAGGCTGCCACATGAACTTCAAACATGTGGAAACACTAACCCCTTATTCACAGTGCATTTCTCCTCCACCCACTGTACACAAACAAGCTCCTGGCTCTCTGATTGGTCAAGCCGTCCACAGGTGACAGTGTAGTCTTTCATCTCCCGAAGCGACCGGCGGAGCTCGGCCATGGTTTCCACGGTGATCTGCACCATTAGCCCATCTGGAGAGAGGGGACAGCGATACAGGAGAAACACACAGACACCAACGGCCACACACACACACACACGCACACACACCAAAACACTCACATGCATCAAACACTGTACACACTCCTGACAAACAGTCTGTTAAAATGTACACAGACACACACATACAAAGATCAACACATTCTGAATAAAACAGTATTGAAGCAGGGATGTTGGCATGCACTACTAGACCAATGTAAACAATGAACTTCCTGCAAGCGGGAGGGAAAAAGTCAAGGTGAACCTGACTCCCCTCTCAGTGGACATCCTACCTTCTACAATGCTGGACTTGGCAAGGTATCCTGCAGATGCTTTCAGTGCACTACTGAATATAAAAAAGCAGGATCCAGTAACTGCAATAACAGAAAGAGAGAGAAACCACCTCCTGTTATAATCCTGTAGTGCCATCTAGTGGTATATGAGGGAAAGTGAACTTCTTTGGCCCCTTGAGTTAAGTTAGATACTGATAAACAATGTTTTCTCTGTATTCCTTATGTTTTTCTTCCAATACAATCTAAGATTTCACTTTGTATGGCTGCATGGTTACACAATAACATCAAATGGAAAATATTTGATAACATTTATACACAATTCCTTGTACTACAGAGTAAAATATAAAAGCCCTGTTGGACCTGGAGTATTATCACTTGACCACTGTGTTTGGTGAAATATGGTAGGTCATTTGTTCTTTTAAAAATTACGGACATGGCCAATTTGCAAAGCATAAAGATCCCAGACATCCTCTGCAATTCATACAAATTAATCCTAGGTCCCTAAGATTACCAGTGTCATGCAAATTGGGAAATTTGGGAAAATTTGAATTTAGAATAACATTTCATGGGTTTGCACAATGTTTGGCTGCACATTTACATTTACTGCTGGTGGATCTTGAGCAGCAAATGCACAATATTCTAATTTAAAAGGCATAATAATTTTAAGCCTTTTAAATTAGTAGATTGCACCAAATGGTCTGTGTACATGAACATGTTATTAAATTTTGTATAATGTACTTAATTTAGCTCTTGTACAGATTTGAGTGTGCTGGTCTCTTTCTCTTTTGTGCACCATTTTAAACAAGTTTCCTTAAACAACTTTTATTGCAAGGCATGTCCTCCACCACTACTTGGTGAAATAACAACATGTCCAGACTCTTTTTGAACTATTTTGATCTGCCTAACTGTTATGGCCCACCTTTGCGTGGCTGATTGTGGATGCTGATGGCTTGGGTCTGGTACTGGCCATCGTCTCCTTGCACGCAGATGAGATGGGAGTCCGCAGTCTCATTGAAGCACGCCCCAATGGCCAGCACATGCTCATTGGACTTATTCAAAGCCTTCATTAGCTAATAATGTGATACAAGAATGATGACTGATTAAAAATACATAAACACTAGCATGAACTCCGTGAGGCATTTAAAGGCGTATAGTCTTACCTCATTATACCCAGTGGTCGGTATCTTTATGCAGGTCCGCTGAGCCTCTAGATCCACAGTGAGCCCCGGCACCATTGGTAGGCTGTAACGGTAATTCCTAAAGTCCTGGAACAGGATTGGAGGAACACGTCAACATCAATTATGGGAAGTTTGGTTAAAGTTACAACATCAAACTTCCTATAAATGATGGGAAATGTGGTTCTATAATCACACCAAAGAGAAGCTGTTACAAAAAGCGATACTCACTACTAGCAATCTCATTATGGTGTGGCCTATTTCCCCAAACAAGGGCTTCCTTAAGCGCACGCTGTACAGAGGGCACGGGTAAACTGCAACAAGAAACAAAGGGGGTAACTTAAGTAGTAGACCTGTAGTAGTATAGATGCAGCCTTTTATACGAGGGCCTCTCTTACATCTGTATTCAGCCCCCAATCGCAGCATGAGACGCAAGGGAAAGGCTTTGGCCCAGGCCACCTCTGCTCTGTGGACCAGCAGGCCAAAGAGGTAGGGCTGGTTTGGCAGAGGTAGACCTTGAAGGGACTGCAGAGTGGAGCGAATGTACAGGAAGCCTGCATGTTCTTCACTGCCCAGGAAACTACTGCCAAACAAGGACAGCGACAGATGTTTCACAACCTTTCCTACAGAAATACAGAGGAAAAGGATGTGTAATTATAGCAGAAAACACTTGACATGACAAACGCGGTAGTCAGCTTTTCAACACGGGTCCAAAAGTGGGCAAAATGAAATAATGTCTTACGTGTAAGCATCTTAATGTGTGTGTGTGTGTGTGAAGCTCTGACCTGTGAGTGTGTCCCTGTACAACTGGATGAAGTGGCTGAAAATGTCTTTGGGGAAGCTTTTCTCCTCAGGCAGGCACTGCAGCAGCACCACCACCTCCACCTGGCCCACGGCGTGCATCCCCTTTGTCGTCACGCACCAGCACTTCCTGTTAACATCTGTCACACAATCAAGGCACAACCTCAGGGGTTTACGAGGACATTTTTTCTTAACATAAAGCCATTCTGAAATTAAAAATATATAAATTATAAATGTCTCCCTAACAGAGCAGATGTAGCAGGCAAAAAAATGCAATTTAATTTCAGTTGATATTAAAAAAGAATTGCAAAACATAAATATTGAATGTGGATGTATGAGCTATACCACAGCATGAATTTATTTGCAGGCTCATAGCAGTCCTATACTTGATCGGCACTGCACAATATATTGCTAATGAGTCATTTACTATGCATTTGTTCAAGCACAATGAGAAAAAAAAAAGAATCGTACAGTTTACCAGCTTGACCATAGCAAGTAGGTTGGCATTGAGGACAAACACCAGGGGCTTGGGCCTGCCACTCTCCAACTCCTGAATAAGCAACATCTCAGAGGGCTGCTCCTCCACAGTGTAGTCTGAGGAAAAAGTAACACTGCTGTTACACTGTAGTATCTTCTACAACTTAGTCATTCACAATGTGTGTTTGAAAATGAACCATTGTCTGAGCCTGGCTCTAAATAAGATGCAAGGACAGGTAGCTTTTTGTTGCTATTATTTTGAAACGCCCTTGTTTAACCAGGCAGGACGGGGTTCACATTATTATTTACAGTAACAGCACAAGGGAGTCGTCATGAATTTTAAGTGGGAAAAATCAAAATATAAATACGGTGCATCCACACCAGGGACCTTCCCAGCTTTACCACAGACTTGTGACACACCAGGTTAAGCGTCTCGCTCAATGGCACTTTGGTGGTGGTCAGTAAAGGAGGGGTGGATGTATTTTTATCTTACTGATTCTCTTCCAGTCACAGGCTTTATTTTGTAGATCGTACAGTAGGTGTGTACAAGGACAGTGAGGGAGTATTTTATTATTATTACTATTTATTAGTCCAACAGTTGGATGATTTTGAATATAAAGGAACCCACCAGTGTCATGTGGACAGAAGCATATAAATCTGTGGGATTATTTTACACCAGCCTGATGTCGGTAGAGCACCATTTTATCAGGTACCCACAAAAAATCGCTGTGGTCTTTAAATTAGAGGCTGCAAATGCGACAAACACACCCAGCAGGAATCACTAATTCATCTTTTATTCAGTGCCCACAAGCTTCATTTAGGTTTTTCAGCATTATTCCGTAACTGCTGCTTTCACTTCGATTTGACACTTCAGTTTACTCTTTCTTTCGTCATCACTAAATTATCAACTCCTCAACAAGATCCCTTCTTCTATCTTATCCTATCCGCCTATCTCTTGCACCGTGCAAGACCAGAGAACAGCAATGGATAAAACACATTTGAAGGTGGGATAAATACCAGCATCTGTGCTACCAAGAATCCACCAAGTAATTTTGCTAAATCTTTGACTCTCACCTTCAAATTAGATGGAACCTGTCTTACCTCCTTTTACTCCTGTGGAGGTGAGGATAGGTGGCAGCCCATCCAGGGGGATGAGGTTGGCAGAGCTGCTCACTAAAGCAGTGGTTCCCCAGCCGTAAGGACCACAGGCCTCCTGGAGGAAGAGTGTGAGGATTGAGACAACTTTTTTTGTCAAATCTTGTTGTACAAACCGTCTCACATAAAGCAACGTTCTGTGTTATGTTTGTGATCCTACATTGATATTCGTCCCATGTGGCTGCAAGGCTCTCCTGATCTGTGGTGAGCCCACAGGACTTTTACCCGGCCCGCCCAGCGCTCGTCTCATCAGCGGTGAGAACGTAGGCCCTCTGACTGGTGTGGTTGGAGCCGACTCCGACTGCTTATTGAGGAATTCATCTGCAAACCACACCCTCCTTTTCCCCCTTGGAGGTGTCCCTGAGGAGAAGATGTTGAAGAAGAATTGCTTGTGCAAATAAGCACTGCAAAACTGTGAACTTTAACAAAAATAAAACAAACATATATGCTCACTTTTGATGAGAGTTGAATGACAGGAAACACAAACTCGCCCCTCCTTGCCATCCAGATGTGTGAGTCTGAACTTCAGATTGGAGCAAAGTGCACAAAAAACCTGACCATACACACACATGCACACATCGCATAAGGACACACATGTTATCAAGTTAGTATTTAATTAAAAGGTATTTTAAATCCTGCACGAGATAGAACAATGTTACTCACCTTCCCACAAGCACGGCAGTGGTGCCTCCTCTTAGTGAACGTAAACTTGACCCCACACTTCATGCAGACCTGTGCCTGAGCATCAGGGACCCACAGTGGAGCGACCTCCCCGAGGACAGTGCCACGGTCCTTGGACAGGATGCCAACAGGGCTCAACTCGGACTCATTGTCAGGATCTATAGGGGAGGCTGCACAGTCCCCCATCGCTCCCTCCCCACTGGCTGCCTGGGCATTGCAGCTGTCTGTCTCATCTCCTCCATTAGATCTAACCATCTTAAACTGGCTCTGGAGCTCCCTGCCATGTGTCTCGCCATGTGAGAGAGTGGAGGGTGCTGCAGTTGCCTCTGAGCTGCAGGACTGCTCCTGCTGCTCCAGTCTGCTCTCCTCCAGCTCCTTCTCCTCGATCACAGAGTCCTCCTTTGACGGGAGAACCTGGGGCTTCCTTTTCTCCTCCTCCGCCGCCTTCTCCTCTTCCTCTGGCCACGCAGCCTCGGCAGGGCTCAGCACCAGGGGGCTGGAAGACTCCCCGAAACAACTCTCACCCCATGTGGAGATGGCGGTCACAGTGCAGCTGCCCTCCTCCAGCTGGGAGGGTGAAGCAGTTTTGGCCAGCTCTTCAGATGGTTTCTGCTCACATGGCCCAAAGCTGCTCCTGACCGACGCATCTGAAGAGGTCTTGGACGGAGATTCTGGTCGTATTTGGCCGCAGCCCAATCCTGGTTTTGACATGTCCCCATCTTTGAGCACCAGGAGGCAGGGTCTGTTGAGCCAGTGGTGCTTGGTGTCCTGCAGAGACGGATTGTCTCCTTCATCTGTTTCAAGGGGGAGCACACACACACACACACACACACAATGTATGCATGCTCATTAACCATGACTAATTAGGTGGAAAATGTGTTCACATGTGCTAAGTGGCCATTTAGTGCCATATCATAATTTATGTCATGACCCCGAGCATACCTCAGAGCCTTCAATCAACACTAAAGGCAGCATTGACACTCCCTTGAGAGATGTGTCAGAGCTGAATACAGAACAGACTAAATGGTTAAAAAAAAGGGGGAAGACATTTGTTGTGGACCACATATTGATGTCAAACCAATAGTAGTTGTTTGTGGTACCACCACACAGCTGCTGGTTCTCTAGAGAACAAAAAGTTCAATAGTGGTTCTGTGTTTTATTGGCTCTGAAGGATGAGGATTTAGAGATGCTTTGTTCACATTAAAGCCTTTTGCTATTCTGTGTATTGGTTCATTTATTGTGTGGCGTTGGTGGCCAACCAAAGACAAATGGACAAATGCGTATGGTAATAAAATGGCACATTTGGGTTTTTGATCCAGGTTTTTCCACTGATCACCTGAATGTGCACATCCTGTTAAATACTGCAAGGGACTGTGTATTACTGGAAATATAGTCAAATAAGCCATTTGCTTCTGAAATGCCAACATGATATTCTACATAAAGGCAATTACCCTCTCTGATTACAGCCAGTTACTGCTTCAGCATCCTCTCCTCGTGTGTTAGTCATGCAATAACCATTACTGTAAATTACCAGCACGTGATGTAACGCGAGTTGTTGTGTCCATAGCTGGCACTGAGCTTTCATTGCGCGGTAACACCCAGTGATTCATGAATAGTTATGACTCAAGACCATAAGAGTAAGATAACTTAAACAAGCACTAGAAATCACACAGTAGTGGGTTCTATTATTTTGCTGCACTGTTGGATGTGTGGTTGTTTGGCACAAGATGTAAAAGAATATTAGATGGAAGGGAGCTAATCCATTTGTATTAAACGAGGCGATATAGAAACTCATTTCTCGGGTTAAACTGCATTGCAGCCCCTTCTTCACAGACACCATAAAACCGGAGGGGATCAGGCCGGTTCGCTCCTGCTGCGGGCTGCAGAGTGAAGATCTCCCCGAACAACGGCGGCGGGACTCCACCGATCCGGTTGACTGGAGCGATCGCTTCCCGGGACAGTGACGCATTCAACACACGTGCAAATGTTTAATCCGCTCTCGAGCAACCGAGGCCGGCGGCAATGCGACACTCACCCCGCATCCCGTTACATCAGATCCAACAGGACACTTCACTGGGGCTGATATTTACTGAGGCAATGTGTGTGTGTGTGTGTGTATGTACGCAGACTGTCTGCACACAGGAATGTGCGCCACTCTCTCTCTCTCTCACACACACACACACACACACACACATGCGTTTCAGATGATGCGGACTATGCGCGCAGCCAAATGCTGTATCAGCGGTTTTTCCTGTGACAAACACATCATCACACGCAGGCAATGAATGGGGGAGTAAAAGCATCCCCACCCCGCTGCAACCAAAACGCAGTCCTTACCTTCAGTTATTGCTCCCAAAAGGCTTTCATTCTCGTCATCCCGCGCAGAGAAGAACTTGAGCATTTTATCCTGTTTACATCTGAGCGCCGAGCAAAAGCGGATTCAAGCAGCACTGCCTTGCTCACAAGCGGAGGATGGGATGATTTCGCCTCTTTCTAACCCCCCCTTCTCTATGATCTCCCTCCTCCCCTGTGTCTCTCTGCAGCTCTTTGAAGAAACTCAAGAGGTGTGCAGAAATGTCCCTCCCCAGTTTTGCCGTCTACACACACAGCCCGCAGGACAGCGTGCAGGCCAACGCAACACAGCTATGATGCCAGATATGAAAAGACCTGCCTGCATGCACAACCTGTCATACTGATGGAAGCTGTAAAGGTTTCAGCAAGTCAGCGCTGTTGGATTAGTAGATCCATTTCATGCAAAACAGCATAGAAAAATCCTGTTTGTATGAGAAGCAATCAGTGTTTACCAAATGTTGTCAATGACCACAGCACCATGTAAAAAATGTTGACCACCTTTATTTTGTTTCATAAACAAAAAGTCTTAAGACTTGCTTTAATGACCACTGTTATCCTGACCATGACTGACAATGTGGTGAAGGGATTTAACGGTTTACCAGAAGGGAGTTATTTTTCTTTCTTTTTTTTAAACATGTAAGTGCACAAGCCAGTCTGACTCGGACATCCGTGGGCCATCGTAAAATATAAAAGTCTCTGGTTTGTAGAGATAGTGTCTGATATGTCTGGATGACTAGACTTTAAAAACACTGGAGAAGGTTTTCTCGCTTCATTGCAGTCCAGTCCCTGTGCACACGAGCTTCACATGCGTCAGTTTGCCTCGTTCTTTGACGCTTCATCGAAGTTCTCCACCAGATCTGCACAACAACGACATGTTGTCAATTATTACAGAGGAAGAAAACAGCTTTGTGTGATACTGTATTTACTCTGCAGTGGATAAAATAACCACTTATATAGAGTGGATCTTCTTTATTTAACGAGATAATAAACTTAATGCATCATTTAGAAAATATACTAAGCATTTAAATAATGATCAAATCCTGGGATAGCATTATGAGAATTGGTTGAAAAACTTCTCTACATCTGATGGTCCATACCTGGAACATCATCATCCTCTTCCTCAATGTCCTCTGCCTTTGGAGCCTTGCTGTCGAGAGCTGAAATAAAAAATACAAATAAAAAAAAACATAGCTTTAGTTTTGAATATTAAATAATTGTAACAATAAGTTAAAGTGTGGTTATATTCTATATTGTTGTTACAGTCAACAAATCCCATTAAATAAGCGCAAAACAAAAATGTATTTATCCTAACTAATCTTTTCTGCCAGAGCTCCAACGCTGTCCAATAACTATTAAAAACACACAGTAAGCGTCACACTTAAACTGGGTAATGTTTGTTTTTATTAGTGTGAACATTGGTACTGTAGTTTATTTTGAGTTGATCCAACCAACTCTGTCCTGCTGCTGTAAATACTCAATAGAACAAATGTATATTAATCCACCACTGAAAATAGTCCCCAACAAATACACTATTTACACGTTTGAGTTAAGTTTGCCAAAAAACTACAGTGCCCTGTTGTTTTAGGACATTATCGTTATTATTAAAAAATTAAACTATACAATTGTGAAATGTTTGAAAACATTAACATTATGTCTTCAGTAGGAACGAATGGGCTTGTGGCAGAAAGCCACAGAGAGGACGGGGACGTCAGAAAGTCCTGAGAAACTGACTACCTTGGTTTTGGTATTTTATGGGATTTGTTGACAATAAAACTATATATAATAACAACAGCCTAATATTTTCATTTACAAAGAAAATCGTTGTCTTAAAGAACCAAGAAGCATTACTATGCCTCTGTAACATGGCTGATACTGTATGACCTAATTTCAAGGGATATATACACACAACACCATACAGCTGCATGCAAAACTGATTTCTAAGTAGCAGGTATGGTTTCTAAGACAGAACTCCCCTTTGACAGTGATTGTGAAACGTCTAAGAGGTCTAAGAGGTCCGGGAGCACCCACCTTGCCGAGGGAACTGTTCTGCCAGCTTGCGCAGGCTGCTGAGGCTGTCCGCTCCCAGCTGACTGAGGATGCCGGGGAGCATCTCCGTCAGCTGCTTGGTCTCAGCGTGGCCCGTGATGGCGAAGGTGTTAGCAGACAGAGAGGCCTGAACTTTGGGGTTGTTGAAGTGGATCACAGTCCCGTCATCTTTGATCATGTTCACCTGAGAGGAGAAGACCACTCTTACTTACTTATCCAGAAAGAGATGAATGTGAAAAGCCTCAAAGCAGACTGGTCTATACAGCTGCGAAAGAATGCATTCATGCTCTCATCAGAACGGATTAACACAATGACATTAATGTAAAGATAAACTAACATTCGGGACTCCCTTATGCAGAGGTCCAAACCAATTTACCTCCTCAATTCCAGCAATATTGTTGACAGCCAACTTCTTTAGTGAACTCTGAAGCTTTTTGTCATCAGCTGTTGCAGTTCTGTGGACCACCTTCTTCTTCCTGCGCGCAGATCCCTAAAATCAAAGTAGACATAAGACTCCTAAAGGACAGCGACTTGAAGCTATATAAAACAAGAGTGAAATAAGCTACAGGAGCAACATAGCCTTTGTTGTATTACAGTATACAAGCCTCTTGAATCAATACACATATGAATCAAATGTGATCCTGTTCAAAACCTGCTGAAATTCAGTGTTGCAGTGGATAGCCGGACAGATTTTTGAGGCCAACACATAAACGTATGAATATAATGCAGTAAAAGAGAGTCAATAAAGATCCCTTAGGTTTGGGTGCCCCGCCAGGTCACCTGATAGAATGCATAACGAGGCTGAGACCTCACTACAGCGGCCTGGGTTGGAGTCCGGAGCCCATTGCTGCATGTTATTCCCCTTTCTCTGCTCCGCCTTTGTGACCGGATATTGCAGTTGAAAAACAAACTTGTCAATGGTATCCAGTGTCACTGTTTCTAAACTATCTGTATTTCTGTATCGCAATTTCTTGTTATCAGCCAGCACATGTACCATAGCAATATATCGTTGACGAGCTAAGATAAGCTGATATATCCACCCGGCAGATTTCTTGGTGAAGCTCTACTGCCGTCTTCAAGGTGAGTGGACATGTGCTGTTTTTGTCATCAAATATTTATTGTTAAAGCCTACAAATGTTTTTTTTTTATGTTACACTGTCACTGAACAATGACTGTATGACTGTACTGAATGAGTATAATATTTGAATAAATATGACAGTAAGCCATAATCCTCTCAAAAGGGAGATATATATACACACCTGCTAAGTGTCATTATTTCCTTCTGGTTTGAGTGTATGATCTCACCTACATTAGTACATTATAAATCAGTCGTGGTGCTGTATGCAACTTATAGCAGTGTGATGTAGAAACGTGAAGCCACCAGTGCACAGACGCTGAGAATGGACTAGTTGGAATAGGAGACATCTTGTGTCCAGCAGGAAAACAACATTTGCATAATCATATATTTTTTATGAGGTAAAAGGAGTAGATGTCTTTTTAACCACTTTAATGTGGAAATTATACTTTTTTTTGGCAGAAAAAAACATATCAGACACACATTATGGCTCCGAGCAAACTATTTGTACATGTGTCTTAATGCACGTCTGCACTACATCATGCACATTGCAAATATCCCTTAATGCTTTATATTTATTTTTCTTTATATTGTGAACCTGCACATTTCCTGGACACACTGCACAGCTCTTCAGTTAAATGACGACCATACTGTACACGCTGTCTCTTAATCTTTGTATACCGTCTCTTTTATTGTCTTTATTGATATTCTTCTCACACTTT